TAATAAAAGTTTACAACTTGATTTTTTCAAAAAAGTCAACAAACTGCAAGGACCTGTAATAAAGGTCTTAAATAATAATAAAAAGGCATGTGGGCTATATCCAGTTTATTTACTTTGAATAAGTTGCTTTTAATTTCTATTTTCTTTCCTTTTTTTTGATGTTTTTGCCTTAGGGTATGTGTGCTCACCAGAGAGAGAGACAGAGACAGTAAAAGGGAAAGTGAGAAGTCACCTCCACAGGGAGGATGGCCATGTCACAATCCCTCCTCTTCCATTCTCCTGGGATCTTCGGGATGTACGCACATATGCCTGATGTGAATTTCAAGCCACCAGGTCTGGGATTCAAACCATAGTCAGCCATGTGAGTGTCCAGTGATGTAACCACTATGCCATCTGCTGGCCACCATTTCTATTTCCTTTTCCCTGTCTTCCGTAGGTTACTTGAATTCCATTTTGATTTCTCTATGAGTTTTTTAATAAAGAGTTATTTTATTTTTAATTTTTTAATTTTTAAAATTTGACCGGAGAGAGACAGAGCAACAGAGCGAGAGAGCGAGAGAGAGAGTGAGAAAACAAACTGCCAGATCTGGACTCTAACTGTGGTCAGCCATGCGAGAGTCCAGTGACCTTAACCACCATGCCATCTGCCAGTCCCTCTATATTAATTTTGAGTGTGTCTCCTGTAGCATTTTTAGTGACTGCTCTAGAAATTACACTTTAAAATTTTTATTTATTTTTTAGGCTTTCACTATAGAGCACGTCACTTGGCCAGAGAGAGAGACGGAGAGGGAAAGTGAGAAATCATCTTCCAGGGTGGACAGCCACACTGCAATCTCTTCTCCATTCTCCTCTTGGGATTTTGGACACGCACACACACACCACAAGCATGATTTTCAAGCTACCAAGTTCAGGATTTGAACTGTGGTCAGCCATGAGGGAGGCCAGTACCTTAGCCACCATGCCACCTACTAGCCCCCTAGAAATTACATTCTATGGACACAACTCTTCACAATCTGGTAGTATTTAAGCTAAGATAGAAACCGCACTTCCTTCTCTCCAATTTATAATAATTGTCTTAAACATTTTTTCTACTTACACTGAAAACCGTATCATATAATGTTGTCATTTCCCCCCCGTAAGACAAGATCTAACCATGTAGTGACTCTCCTGCCTCAGTTAGAATCACAGTGCCTAGTTTTCAGGTCAGAACAGGAGCTGAACCTGGGCTTTCCACAGGGTCACACCTGTGGAGTACGGCATCTAAGCTGCGTACAGCACTGCAGTTGAGCCAGTGTTGTCTTTTTTCCTTCAACCATAAACTCACTTTAGAAGACATAGGAAAGGAAAGCTAACTATATTCAGCCATAATTTTGCTTACTCTGTTCTTCCTTTCTTCTTTTTTTTTTTCTTTTTTGAGAGGTTTTTGCTATAGGGTGTGTGTGCTCGCCAGAGAGACAGAGAAAGACAGAGAGACAGAAAGCGAGAAATCACCCCCCAGGGGGGATAGCCACGCCGCAATCCCTTCTCCTCCATTCTCCTCTCAGGATCTTGGGCACACACACACACCCAGCATGAGTTTAAGCCACCGGGTCTGGGACTCGAACTGCAGTCAGCTACGTGGGAGTTCAGAGACATAGCCATTATGCTAATTGCTGGTCCCCATTCTTCCTTTCTGATGACCCAAGACTCCCTCTATTCCCATGTGCCCAGAATCCTGAGAGAAGAGAAGAGGAAGAGAAGAGAAGGGATTGTGGCTTGGTCATCCCCTGGGGGATGCTTTTTCTCTATCTCTGGAAAGCACATGTACCCTATAGCAAATTTAAAATAAACAAACAAACTGTTTGGATTTTATTCAGCTCCTTCATGTTACAGATTTATGCCTTTGATGGAATTTGGGAAGTTTTCAATGATTATTTTGAGTGCTCTTTCTTTTTCGTGCCCCCTTTCTCTCTTACTGCCAGAGGGTACATGTACTCGCCACAGATAGATAGGTGGAGGAGAGGAACACTCCCCTGTGGAGTGTGGTCATACAGCAACCCCTTCTCTTTTTCTCCATCCTGTCACATGCGGGGTACACATTCATGCAAGGGGGCTGGAGACCTTCTTAAATCACCAGGGCCAAGGTTCCAACTCCAGTCAGCCATAGGGATCTCACTCTCTTTCTTAACCACTGGGGGCTACAGGGGCTGGTGGTCCTTCAAGTACTTTTTTTCAGTCCTGCCCTCTCTCCCCTCCTTCTGGAATTCTGATGACACAAACGTCAGATCGTCAGAACAGACTGTGAGGCCTTCTCCCACAATTTTTTCCCTGTTGGTCAGATAAGTAACTTTTTTCATTTTATTATTATTTTTTTAATTTGCTAGAGGACTCCTATCATAGGAAATGGTCACTCTACAATCCCTTTTCCTTGACTTCTCCCTCCTCTTTGGGATTTTGGGCTGCATACACACATGCCCAGCATGTTTCTCCAACTGCTAGGTCTAGGACCTGTACCCTGCATTGGATCTAGCTGCCTAACTACCACGCCATACGCTGGCCCTCACTTTATCTTACAGTTTATTGAGTCTATCTTTTGTCTTTTCCATTCTGTTGTAGAGC